AGCTTCATCTGTCCTTGACTCACACGTCCGTTTGTCTTGAGTTGGAGAAGGCGGTGGTACACCGCCAACCTTTGGTCGTCGGTGAGCTCACGACCGGTCGGCACCCTCTGCATCAGAAAATTCGGTAGATTTGCTTACAGTAGTTCTGAAGGGTGCTAGAATATCTACGCTGCCAGCTGAGTCGAATGCGCGCGATTTGAGGCCAAACGGACAAGAACAGAATGCGCTGTGCTGTTTTTTAGTTTTGACTGGCTCAGAACAAAAGTTTGTCGTCCTGGTCCTCCCGCTTTACTGCTCATAAAATTGTCCTGAAAATACCACCGTGTAGTGCGTGTGATTGGCTTTCGATTGAGCCTATTTGGGAGGTATTTTGCTTAGTCTAGGCTAAATTACGGTTTCAGCAACAAGTTCACTCAAGTATTCCGGAACAAAGGAAGTATACAATAAGTTAAAACACAGAATACATGTATTTTTATATGCTTGGGGCATAGAACATCGTATTTGCATTGCTCTCTGTGTTCGTCAACTCGCGTTTCGTTTGTTGACGCTTCGAATGCTGTCTTTTCGATATGTTTCTACTGGCTCCATCAACTGCGTCATGCGGTCAAGCTTCTTGGGGTTCCACTGGATGTCTCGAGCATGCACAGTGATCCAGCTGGCGCATTCGGCAATTCGTGCAGCCCCGTTGCGTTTGAGGTGTGCCTTGTCGCGGGCATCCCGGATGGTAGAAATATCCTCCGAGATTGCAGTTGGCGTTGCTCCATAATCCTCACGTGTTGGTCCGAGTTGCCCGTTGGCCGCTTTCGTGGCTTCGATTTCTTGATACACCAACTTCGACGTAGGAAACACCCAGAACAGCGGGGTGTACATTCGCACTTTGAGCTTGGGTGTGTGCAGCTAATGTACACATTACACACATATTCTAAGCAACTACAATTAACTTACTGTATTGAGGTTTTTATCAATGAACCATTCCTGGACGTTGACGAACACTTGAGAACTTTGGATTACTTTGACCTTGCATGGCTTCAACGCACGGAAAGGCGGTACTGTACTGAGCCAACCCAGTCAACGTACTCGAAGGCTTGTACCAAAATAAATATAAATTTAATACAACCCTACTAGTTCTGACCTACCTAGCTACACTAGGCAGCTCTTGTTGCCGCATGTAACGCTGCCGAAATCTTCGCGTCGGGCCACGCTGATGATGCAGCACCAATTAGTGCACTGTCTTTATCCATGTGAATAAAGTAAGGATCCAGGCCAGCTATATCGCGCAGAGCAAGGAAACCAGGACAGGACGTACGGAACGCGTACTTCTGACGTGTCTATCAATTCACAGAATTTCAAAACCAATGAATTAGGCTGACACAACTAGTCCCCCTAGGTGACGTAGTGGTACTAGTAGTAACTAGTTGAGCTAGAGTACCCACCATTCTCTTTCAGGAAGAAGTATGAAATAGGATACCCTTCTCCCCGAAACGACACGATCATGACAAACATTTCAAAGCTCGACCGCGTCGTCTTGTGAGTGGAATCCACAACACACTCGTTGATGGTATGCACCGAACCGGCGATGATGTCAACGAGATCGGGAAGGACAAAGTACAAGTTCTCGACAAAACGTACTCCGGCGGGCTGCGCAACTTTTGAAATGGCTGTTCTCGTGTCCACGCAAGTAGAGTGACGCCAACATGTAGGGATCAGGATCCATGTTGCACTTGCTGAGGACACAATATACATGCTAGTAGAAGGATAAATAAATAACGTGACAGACCAGTGATGTGCCGAATGTTCAGTGATGTGCCGATTTATTTCATCCAATTAAATCGTTCGAGCTGTATTATTGGACAAAACAGAGCCTCTCATGCCAATAATCTTGTAAAAGTTTATGGTGGGAAAAATTATTATATGTAAAAGGTTTTTGAGTTTGAATTGACATCCAAATCCCGCCTCGACGCCGTAAACTGACGACACCCTGAGAGCAGCCGTTCACAGTCCTATCCAAAACCCATTAGGTAGAGTAATTATCCACACGAATTTTCCAATACAATTTCCCTGAAAATCCTTCGGGCAATACCGGTACAAGTAAGCAGAACTACCGCTGTGTTTGTTGTTGCAGCACTTCTGGAGCACCTACCAGTACTGTAGTGCACGCCTCCCAATGTTTACGCATATCAACAACCCTGTGTACAGTACTGTACTGTAGTAGGTGTAATGCGTGCAGTTTGTGATCTTGCACCATCCCCATTTGCTGTACGGTACTAGTACACTGTAGTGTGCGTCGTGCCGACGTACAGTACAAACATGACCGCTTTGACGAGGTCGATAAACACAGGGATAGGATGTACTTGTTGGCTGGTTTTCGTTCGGCACTATTCCACCGCTCGCCTACGTTATCCTCGCTCATCTACTAGTACATCCTACATACTGTACCGCTCATCTCGTTTGGTTCTTTCCCCGTCCCTCTTGACAGGATTTCATGTGTGCTGTCGAGGCACCGATCCCTACATGTGGGTATTTGACCCACCTGCTGAACATTGCCACGTGGTACGGTTTAGTGTCCGAATAAGTGAGAATGTGCAGTACAGTTCCTCAATATCTTATTCCTGTTCAAATATAATATACCTTTATCATTTTATAAATTCCAGTCTGCTCGCCTGTTTCTTACACAACCCTAATCCATACTTCAAGTATAAAATTCGGCACATCACTGGTCATCAATGTAAATTTTGCAACTTGCGAAATTTATTTACGTCATCGTGAACTGTCTAAATACATTGTGTTTAGGTGTATGTGACAGATCTTGACGAGCTCTTTCAGGCGAGGTCCACCGCATCGCCTTAGGATAAATACTTGACGAGGAATTCACGAAAGAAAAAAGAAAAAAATCGGCCCATCACTGGTCGATCATGTTAATCGACATTTTACATACCTTGCGCCATTGATATCCTATTGGATGAATTTGATGGTATAGTTGAATTCTGAATGGACTCGTCGCGCAGCATGCTGTCCCAGATTAACGAAGGTGTGAGTGATGTTGTCCGTTCTTGTATGCACTGGACGAGAGACAGGGGGACATCGTGGGATTGAGAATCCACACCGGGGTGAAGTATTTCGTGAAATAGGCGCACGAATGCACATTTCGTCGATGAATACACAGAAAGCAGCCCTAGTAAAAATAAGAAACTCGTCAAACTATTGTCGAGGCCGATTGGGATCGGTCACCAGTTCAGACCTCATAACTCTTCAAGGAGATGTCCAATTTCTACGAAATGATGATATAAAAAAACGTCAAACAATTTCTGATGCGACTAAATCGCCAACAAGTCGCTTTCAGTATGGTAAGGAATAAAAATACACCGTTCAAAAACGGCAAATGAAAAACATCTCCAGTTGGAGTATAGGGTTATATTTACTGTTAGGACAATTGATTGGACAAAACTAACCAGGCTTAGATGAAGTTTAGGTAAAATGCAAGGTTTTATTAAAAAACGCATCAGGTTAAACAACGTTTTAATCACTGCCAATGGAGGACCCGTCGTTGCTATCCTCTTCACCACCGCTTGAGACTAATACAACGTCTTCATCAAGTGCCTCGTATCTATCCTCGTAGGCCTGCGCTTTGCGGTAGGACGACACCCAATGATGACTTTTCACCTCACCAAACAACGACCATAGACGTTCCTCGAGCTCAGCAACGTTCTTCGATGGACACAGGGCCACGCGGTTCTTCACCATCCCCCACACGAGCTCGATCGGCTGGAGCTCAGGATGGTAAGGCGGCGTGAAGTACAGAGTGTGGCCGTACTTTGAAGCGATCAACTGCGCCGCATAGGCCGGCTTACCCCGGTTGCGCGCGACCAGCTCCAACAACTCGGCCTTCACCATGCGTGCATCAAACGCGATGCCTTTGTCGCGAAGCCACTCCTGGATGTCCGCTTTTCGCTTCTGCTGCGTCGGTACGTACACCGTATTGCGCTTGTGGTACTTTGCGCCATCCATGTGAATATGACAGGGGCCGTACTTCTCGCGGAGGGTTTGGCAAAGACCCTCGAACCACTGCTCGAACAACACGCTGTTGAAGTTGCCGTGGTAATTATCGACGACTTCGTGATCTTCGTCATGTTTGCGCTTAGGTTTTTGATCCGATGGCCAAAGCTTCAGAGAGCTCGGCACCCACTCGCCACGGAGACCGCGTGTCCAGGGCTTGAGAGGATCACACCGGCGCCAATGATGCAGATGCGGCGGCCTTTTCCACTGCGGGTACGACGTTCTCTCGTCTCATCCACCCAAGTTTTCGGCGGGGCATGGTTGAGATTGCAGTAGGACTCGTCCAAGAACACTTCGGGTACAACAAGCGAACCACTGAATGTCCGGTTGGACAACTTCTTGCGAAGGTACATTGCCCTGAAAGCCACGTTGGCAGTTGACTCTGCTAGGTAGCATCGGCTGCGGCCCTTAAGATAGCAGTAGCCAAGGCGCCGGAGGACCCGCCTCATGGTACGGACGGCAACGGGCAAGTCGTGTTTTTCGTCAAGGTAGTTGCAGATGGCCATTGCAGTTACGGGTACGCAGTTTGTGTTGGCGTTGAGTATAAACTCACGTATCTCGCCCGAGTAGGTTTCTGCGATCGAGCGCGGACGATGCCCCCTATCGGGTCTCTCGACTTTCGATTTTCCTTCTCCAAAGGATGGGTCTTTGTCGCGCCGCCACTCCGTTATGATTCGGTTGATGGTGTTCGTTGAAAAGCGCAGGCATTCAGCCACCCTCTGTCACACGGGTGCTTGTGAACCCGTAGTTGTAGCCTTAAGCTTCATAAAGTGTTCATGGCATTTTACAACCAAGTACTTTTCGGCTGCCGAGAGCTGATGTTTTTTTTTTCAAATCTCGTCGGACACTGATGCTAAATTCGTGGCCTAGTAATACACTTCGTTAGACCCAGTTAAACTAACGAGCAAACTAGTACCAAATATACTACCTCCACAATCGAATGCATTTACGCCACCACGATGTCGGCGCTTCTCTGGGTTGATGTCTATAGACTGGGAGTGGTGTCTTGCTTGCGACTGCTGCTGACGTTTCTGTCGCTGAGAGCAACGGAAGCTTGATAGTCTCCCGCTCTTGTTGCTGCCGGTCAGCTTTCCATTTATCATCAACCTGCGCCATGTTAATACAATACCATCGTGTAAGCATGTTTGTCCCTAAAGCAACACAACACACATTCGACGGTATGAACGTGTTGCTCTGTGGATTCATGCGAAACGCCGAAGATCTGCGTACCAATATGACCAGGAACGAGCCAAATTGAATCCTCCTCGAAGTCACCAATGGATCCCACATTGTAGGTCGCCATGGGCGCCCCATCCGACGTCCGTGGGGACTTGCACGTCTTGTCGCGGCATGCTGAGCACATGGCTCGTGGTACGTTCGACGAGTCGTCGAAGTATTCTCTCCAGTCACGCGAAGTGTGGTAGCGGCTGCATTGAATCCATTTCTCAAAATGACTACAGCCAGTACAATTGACACCACTATAAATATTTCTTTAATTTTAATAAATATTTGCTTTAATTTATCATTAGTTATTTTGTTTCTTCTCTTTTGTAGTACAGTGGTACGGAGTCCTATCGATGAATATGATCAATATTCCGATCTCACTTAGTATTTGTATGCACTAATTTTGGCCAATGAATAGTCTCTATTATCTATTTCTACTTATCATATTGTAGGTCTAGTATTATCTTATCCTTTACCATTTTGACCAATCAAAGTCATTTAGGGGTAAGGCTAGCTGAATTTTGTCGTTTCCGACACATTCCGACGAAAACTGTCGGAATGGAATCTGAAATATCCTGGTCTCACATACAAATTTAAAGAGGGACGATGCAGGGGGTAGCGCTGAGGAGGAACGACGACGAAGAACACTTGTGTGGTCGATGACAAAACTAAAAGTGATCATTAACGGACTGCTTGGCTGACGTATGATTGGGCAGAAACAGTCCTGACACCGGATAATTCCGGATGACCGGATATTATCCGTAAATAACCGAACCTTGGCGACAATGGCCAGAGTGCCCCATCTTGACAAGATAGAGTTAAAATTGGCCACGAAAGTTCATCCAAACTCAATTAATCATCAATCGTGTCAGTTTACAAAATGTAAACACCTGTTTACATTTGGTTAACTGCCAAAAATATTCAACAAACTCGGAGCGTTGTCTCAACGTTGCGCTCTGTTATACTAGTACTAGTATGAGCCAAAGCGCTATGAAATTCAAGGAGACATAGGTTGGGTTTTTTTAGGTTGAAGGCTGACGAAACTTCAATGTCCGAGGTGTGATTTCACGCGAACCAACACGAAGTTCATGAATCTGATTACATATTCGTCATGAATCTGATTACATATTCGTTGAAAAAATTGGAATCGAAAACATTTTATATTCATTTTAAATCAAGACCTGCCCAAAGTTGCATTCAAAATATATTACGTTTTGCGAGTTTTGCCCAGGCGAAACCGGTCGTCGCGATTTCCCGAATTCACAATAACTGCCACGTTATTTTTTAGTACATTCATTTAAAAATGTACTTGTCAAATTTCATGAAGCACGACTAGTATATACTAGGTATATAGTATAGTAGTTATGGAGTTCCGAGTTTCCACTTCAGCTCTACTTTCACAAAATCCCGCAGCCTTCTGGAATATGGTCTTGAATAGGGGCTGGGGGAGTTCCTGGAATGAGGTCTTGAATAGGGGCTGGGGGAGTTCCTGGAATGAGGTCTTGAATAGGGGCTGGGGGAGTTCCTGGAATGAGGTCTTGAATA